TTTTCTGAAGATATTAATAATAGGATTTTTTTTTTAAGTTTCCTTCTGTTCTCTAATTTCTGTTTTTTTTTCTGGAGTCAGTTTTTTTGCGTATCTTGGTTTTTTGCTTTTACACTTCAGGCTTTTGTCAAATATCTGGTGAGTCTTAATTCATTAATTCATTCATCAGATGTTTATTAAATACCAGTTCTGTGCCAAACTACTTTTGGTGTTGGGGATAAGAGAGACAATCCCTGTCTTAGAAAGCTTATATCCTAGTTTAGGTGGGGAGGGGTAGAGTAGGTAATGAGCAAAACAGGTAGATACGTTATATGGTATATTAAAAGGTACTTGGGAGGCTGAGGCAGGAGGATCACTAGAGCCCAGAAGTTGGAGTCCAGCCTGGGTGATACAGTGAGGCCCTGTCTTTAAAAACGGTATAAATTCCTTGCAGAAAGAAGCTAGGAAGGGTAAGAGCACTGTGCAGGGAAGAGTTGTAATTTAAAATAAGGGCGTTTAGGGGAGGCCTTACTCATAAGGTGACATTTGAGTAAGCATTAAAGGTGGTAAGGAAGGAAGATGTAAAGAAATCTGGAGGAAGAACAGTATGGGTAAAAAAAAAAAAAAAAACCAAGAAGTATAGAGACCAGAAACAAAAGCACACCTGTGTGGTTAGAGTGGTGTGGTAAGGGAAAAGTGGTTGTGCATAAAGTCAGAGAAGACATGAAGGTCAGAGTATGTCTGGCCGTGTATGCCTTTGGAAGGACTGGTTTTTACTCTGAGTGTTGTGCATATAGAGGGTGAAGAGCAGAGTCGTGAGATGATAGGATCTATCAGGATCCCTTTGGCTGTTGTGTTTAGAATAGACATGAAGGGAATAAAGTTTGAAGCAATCGTAATAATCATGAGAAATGATGATTTTCAGCAGTGGAGGTGAAGAGAAGTCGACAGATTCTGGGTTTATTGTGAAAGTACTCAGTAGCATCTGCTGATGTAGTTGGATGTGTGTGTAAGAGCCCGAAGAGTTAGGGATGACATCCACTGTGCTTGACCTGAGCAGCCAGAAGGAGGGAGTTGCCATTAGAGGGTAAAGGCTTCACGAGGAGCAGGTCAGGATGGGAGAGATCAGAGCTCATCGCTGACTGGTTCTTAGGTATCCACTAGACATTTATGTGGAAATACTGAGTAGACAAGTGGATAAATAAGCAGGGGAGTGGTTGAGACTAGAAGTAATGAATTTGTGATATAGATGGTATTGAAAGTCCTGAATTGGATGAGGTTACCTAGGGA